CTGCAGGAACACACACACACACACACACACACACACACGACAGCGTTAGTCCTGATGCAACACACACAGCTCAGCTCATGCACACTGAGCTTCATAATACTGTGTGTTTTCATCATGCACCTTTCTTTAAAGTCAGTAGGAGCATATTAAAACAACATGGTTTGAGTACCAACATAGTATATTAAGTAAAGGACATTCTGTCATGCAAGCATATGTGTGTGTGTGTGTGTGTGTGTGTGTGTGTGTGCAGGTGTATATCTGGTAACGTGTGCTAATGAGTTTCAGGCGCTAAATAGAGATCTTGTATGAAGCCACAGCTGCCCGACCCAATAAATACCATGAGGGAGGTCTACACACACACACACACACTCACATACACTCATAAACACACACACACACACACACACACACACACACACACACACACACACACACACAGCACATATGGACACACACCTGTCACAACTCAAAGGGGACTCACAGGCACGATGGGGACAAAAATGTCACTGTGTGACCATCAGTCAGCTAAAAAATAACCTGTCAAACAGGTAAAATATTTTTTTTTTTTTTTGCTGTTGTTTGCAATTTTTTTTATTTGTTCTTATTTTATTACTGACTTTTTACTTTTTTTTTTTTTTTTTTAAATTAAAATATATATATAATTTTTTTAATATATTTTAACAATTTGTTATAATATTTCTTTTTTATTCTATGATTTAAATTTTATTTACATTTTAAATTTATGCATTTGGCAGATGCATTTATCCAAAGCAACATTTTTCACGCATTCTCTGGGAATTGAACCCATGATCTTGGTGTTGCACGTGCAGTGCTCTTCTTTTTAAGCTACAGGACGGCTATTTTATGCAAAAAAAAAGCAGGTTTCATATCAGAGTGACAGGGATTCTAGACCAATGAGATTCCACGGTGGGCGGGGCTACACAGAACAACAACAACAGAAATAAAAACCAAACAACTGACAAAACTCACTCATCACTTGTTGCTATTTAGGACAAAACTCAGACTGCGTTTGAGGCAGTAAAGAATGTAATACTTATATTAATCAAGGCTGCATTAAAGTGATGAAAAGTGACAGTAAAGACATTTATAAAGTTCCATCTCTCTCTCTCTCTCGCTCTCTCTCTCTCTGTTGGCTGCTGGTCTCTCTCTCTCTCTCTCTGTGTGGATCCTCCTTCTCCTCCTCCTCCTCCTCCTCTCTGTCGAGGTGGGTGTTCTGGCTGTTATGACTTGGAGAGGATAATGGCAGCTCTAATGTAGCCAGCCGTTCCTGATGTGGCCCAAAACGAGAGAAATGGGCCGGGTTTGGGATCGGACCAACCACAGCCAGATTCCACCTCCGTTTCTTCCCCTCCGTCTCTCTCAATAGCGTTGTTTTTCTTCAATGGTAAACTTTGTTTTCCAGCTCTGGCTTTGTTTTCATAACCCGACTCGAACGCCCCTCGACGAATTCTTCACTCGGTTATTCCCTCGGAGCCACAACAACCCGTTTACTAACCCTACAACTAGTTAACTCCAGCACCAGCTCATTAAAATGCAAATAATCGCACAACAGTCTTGATTTATTTAGCTTTTGAGTCTGTTCACTACAGGGTTATTATAGATAACTCAAATTAAAACCTTTTAAAACATTGTTACTTAAAATTAAATAACATCGAGGACAATGGAAAAAAGTTTTAACTGTGTTATCCTTGACAAACGAGTGTATATAACTACTTTTTGTCTAATAAATCAAATCAAAATCAAAGTAAACATTAACTGAAATACAATATTAAAACTTACTTCAGCTATTTGACAACAACAATTTTACATACATTATTTACCTAATTTATATTTTGTTTAACTTGATGTACTAAAATAACTAAAACTGAAAAATGTATATATAGAGAGAAAGATTAAAAAAATACTAAAAACAACAATTATAAAAGTTTAAACTAAAATTTAAATGAAAACGCAATATATGAAAACTGATCCAAAATATTAATACAAACTACAATTGTATCGACACTATAATAACACATGCCTTTTAGCTTTGGAACACTGACATTTATATTGAACTGAATTTACAGCTGAAGTCATTTCATAACTGATTCATTTTATAACACTTATTTTCCTGTTTATTTTTGTGAAGCTGCTTTGAAATAATCTGTATGGTATAAATCGCTATATAAATAATAAAAGTGAGTTGATTTGACCTGAGAAAGACAGAAAGATGAAATATGTGGCGTAAGTGAGTTAATATTTCACAAACGCATTAATTTAAGTGCATGAGTGTCAGATTGTTGCAACAAATGTCACAAGAAAGATTCTTTTGGAATTAAATCGCTCCGCTCTCGTCATGGCAACCGTAATCTGTTTAAAGGAATCTTCAGTGAAAAGGGCGTTTTCTTTTTCCAACTCTCTCTCTCTCTCTCTCTCTCTCTCTCTCTCTCTCTCGTGACGTCCATACCTGTGGTTTCCCCAAACCTCACACCTCCGTCTGCTCTCCCTCTCCTCATTTACACATGACTGTACCCAAAAAGAAGCTGGTCTTTTCTTCTGGGTGAAGAAGCAGACTCACAGCTGCTGAACACACTTGTGCTTGCTTACCTTCTCTCTCTCACACTCACACTCGCACTCACACACACACAGACACACACACACACACACACACACACACAGGTTTGTTTTTGTTAAGTGGGGACATCCCATAAGCAAACTGTACAGACCGTATATTCTATTGCCCTACACCAACCCTACCCCTAAACCTACCCCTCACAGGAGACTTTGTGCTATTTCAGATTTTCAATACACTCCATTCTGTGTGATTTATAAGCGTTTTGAAAAGTGGGGACATGGGGTAATGTCCTGAAAAGTCACCTTCTCCTTGTAATACCTGTCATACCTTTGTCATTATACACATTTATGTCCTCATTTGTCACAAAAACGCACACACTCTCACACACACACACACACACACATACACACACACATACTCTCTCTCTTCCTCTATGACCAATCTGCCCCAGAATAGCATCTCTAAAGCCTCGTAATAGCAGCAGAGTTCCTGTGACCACAAGAATTATGTGTAAAATAGACAAAATACCCATAATCACCATGAGCGGCCCTACTGGTGTGTGTGTGTCTGTGTGTGTGTCTGAGCTTTCCAGTTCTGGGTAATTCAGTCATGACTAGTACTAGCCCACCCATAACACCCTAGCAACTGCACAGCAACACCCTGGCAACCACCCAGAACACCTGAGCTGCAAAAACGACTAATTGGTATTTTTGTTTTGTTTTCCATGTATCACAATTAAGTGGGTTTATGCTTAAAACGACAAACAAAAAATATTCTGTTAGTGGTGTGAGAAACATAATATTATTGATATTAATCTATTATAAATTAGGGCTGTCAAAATGGCTGAAAACTAAATTAGACTTTTGTACTTAAATAGTATCAATATTCGAATTTCAGTTAGGGGGGAAAAAAGCTTTTGGCTTCTCTCCTGAGGCCACAAGAGGGCGCATCGAGCAAAATATTACTAATACACGTTTATTCAAAGCAATAAAATAACACGACTATCTTTGAAAAAAGTGCATAATGTTTCAAATAATGTTTATAAACCATATATAATTAATTAAGTTGCTTAAACAATTAGAAACAAAACTGCATCATGTATGTATGCATAGTTTAATACAAAGGACCGAAAAACAATCACAAATAATACTTTTTTATTTAAAAACACAAGATGCAGTGGGATGGTGAAAAACCGCCATAAAGTTTTGAGACGTGTTTTTAAAAGTTGAACTTGCATTAATATTACATGGCTTTCTAAACATGCGGCTCTTTTGTGCGAGACACGAGTGCAACGCTGATAGATGTCCCTCTAGAAAATGTGATAAATATGCGTTCTGTGTGAACGGCTTGGTTTCAGTTTTGACGTAAACAACATCTTCTCCGCATTGATGTTCTCTTTTTCCGCAATATTTTGAATGAACAACGCAGCAGTGCCGCATCTAGTGGGTTCAACCAGATAGGCTAAAAAAAGCATTACAATGCAATGACACTAAAATTCGTGACGCACACATAAAATGTGGATTTATATTTTAAATTTGATGAATATTCGAAATTTTTTGACAGCCCTATTATAAATAATATTGATTTCCCTCTGATTTTTAATTTTTTTTGGTTACACTTTACTTGAAGGGGTGTGCATAAGACTGATATGACACCTTCATAATCATGACATGACACAAGGTTTACATATTTACATTAAAAATTACATAACTGAGCGAATGACACTTAATAACAGTTGTCATAAACATGCATAAAACCTCCTTCATATTCATGACATGTGTCATGTCATGATTATGAAGGTGTCATGTCAGTCTTATGCACACCCCTTCAAGTAAAGTGTTACCTTTTTTTTTTAGAAAACAAAACTTAATATCTATTCAGTCACTTTGCAGCTCCAGTAATGCATCTTGATTTGAGAATGTTTAGATATTTGTACTGGAAAACAAGACAGAAACACTGAGAAGAAAATAATTCTTGCAACCACCGAAATCTGCATAGCAACACCCTGGCAACCACTCAGCTGCATAGCAACACCATGGAAACTACCCATAGCTGCATAGCAACACCCTGGCAACCACTCATAGCTGCATTGCAACACCCTGGCAACCACTCATAGCTGCATAGCAACACCCTAGCAAGTCAACCACCCACAGCTGCATATGGCTGGCAACCATATCACCCAGTAGCCAAAGACTGGTTGCCCACTGAAGCTAAGCAGGTTTGAGCTGGTTAGTACCTGGATGGGAGACCTACTGGGAAAACTAGGTTGCTTATGGAAGAGGTGTCAATGAGGTCAGCAGGGGGTGCTACATAGCAACACCTTAGCAACCACTCACAGTTGCATGGCAACACCCTGGCAAGTCAACCACCCACTTCTGCTTAGCAACACCTTGGCAACCACTCACAGCTACGTAGCAACAGCCTT